GCATAAACCTTCACCTCTGGCTTACATTATCTTTGGTTCATAGCCTTTCAATCTATAGTTTTTGGTGTGTATATGAATCATATTCAGGAAAACATCCATATCTATTGACCTAAGTCTGTCTGTCTACAGAAAGGGTTTATATATATTGTAACGTGATGAAGGTTCTCTAATTTGTGGCAAAGGGCACATCTGCCCAGCTGGGTCAAGCTGGGTCAAATAGTACTTTTAAATCCACAGATTAACCAGGAGCCACGATGTCTACTCATTATCATATCTATATCTGCTGCTGTTCCATCCCAGGAGAAGGACACTTCAAGTTCAGGATGATAATAATTAGATAACAATAATTAATGAAACTCATTGATTTTATTACTGTTTATGAAAATCATCATAAATGATCACTTGGTTCAGTATAATGGTATTTTAATTACATGAAATGAATTTATGCTTTGGGTATAATAATGATTAATTATGATTATGGTTGATGACAGTAAAAGATGTGTTCAGCAAAGAAGGTCAGTTCACCTTATCCATCTAACACAGAGTCCAGATAAACGATAACTGCAACACATGTTTTTGACGCATGATCAAAGCTTTCTTTCTGAGAGAGTGGGAGTGTCCTGAGAGCATGGTAAAACTGTAACCATCACCAGCTTCAGTCAGCTCTTGAACCAACACCACGGAGGAAGGGAACGGCCGTCCCTAAACCTCCACCTGCTGTTTCTGCCACGCCGACAAGAATAGCTAAGAATAAACGAAACTGTAACCAGCTAACAAAGACTCTACCCAGAGTTATTGATTTCGGAGTTAAGTTAAGACGAGAACGTCCATCCGCAAATGCTCGACAACTGTGTACCCGGCGACATCTCTGGACCAGATGATCGGACACTCGCGTCTTCCCTGCCGGACCGAGTGTCATCTTGGGTGAACAACATCCTCCTGATCTCCGGATCCACAAGAGGGTCTCCTGTTTGGGTGAGGTAGAACACAGGAATGCGTTTGATGCCGTTTTCTCTAAGTGAATAACTCAGTTAGCCGCAAAACATCATTTCCATCTAGAATGCTTCTTCTCTCTCTGAAAGAAACCTCCTGATAATTCCATTCACGCATCCAAACTCGTATTCTCAATTTAGTTTCCATCCAGCCACAGGTTTGCCTTTAAAACAAGTTTAATATCAAAGCTGTTAAAAATTGTCATTAAATTGTCATCTATGAAATGTCGTTTATAATTGTCGTTTCAAATCTTTAGTTTAAAATTGTTAGTAATAAAATTTCTTCATTATTGAAATGAAACACAGAAAATGTACAATATTTCTGGTTATTTGAAAGTAAAGATTCCTAGCTTCTGATTCAAAATAACTTTTGCTATTAAGTTTAACTATTTAAATTAAATGTTAATCTTTGGATTAAAATTAGACCAAACAGGTTGGTGTATGAACTTAGATCGATATATAAGTATCCGGGATATTTATACATGATCTAAGCCGCATAGGTTAATCTGATTGGTCAGTTTTTGGAATCTCCAACTGAATAGCAACAGTTGATTCCAGTGTGTAGTTTAATCTCTACAATATTATATATATATACACATATATATACACACACACACACACACACATATATATATATATATATATATATATATATATATTAGGGCTGTCAAAAATAACACGTTAACAACGTTAATTAGTTTTTGGTCGTTAATTACATAGATTTTTTTAACGCATTCGACGCATGCGCAGTGTGACGAATCATTTGTTAGTAAACTGTTTGGGGAGTTAAGGCGAGATGGAGCAACGTGGGCCTTTTGATGGATTCAGATATAAAAAAAATAATGATGGTACAGTTAACAAGTTCAAGGTTTGTTGCCAGATTTGTAATAAGGAGTTTCAATTTCACTGGAGCTGTTGAAGCTTGAGGTACCATGTCAACGCCAAATATGCGTTTGCTGGTGGACCGTCAGTTGCTGCAAGTGGTTCGCGCCAGACTATGCTGGATTTTCCCAGGCCATTAACAAAATCAACCTCAGATAAGTTGACCAACACAATAGCAAAATGGATTGCAAAGGATTGTAGACCCATTAGCATTGTGGAAGACCCGGGCTTTGTGGACGTTTTGCAAGTTGCGTCTCAAGACCCATCCTATAAGCCACCGTCAAGAGCCACAGTTATGACGAAAATCCACGAGCTCTAGGAAAACGAAAAAAGGAAAGAGGTCTTGGCTCAAGTAAATCATATCACCCTGACAGGAGATCATTGGACATCCGTGAGTAACAACAATTACCTCGGAGTAATGGCACATTACATCAGTGACGCATGGGAACTGAAGTATTTTGCGCTGACTATATTAAAAACCGAGGAGCGTCATTTTGCGGATGCTTGTAAAGAACAGTTCCTGTCTGTGGCACGTAAGTGTGACATAGAGGGGAAAATGACAACTATTGGAATTGACAGTGCACGCAACATTGTTGCCGCAATTCGACTTACACCGTATGAACACATGAACTGTGTTGCTCACATGGTGCAGAGAAGCGTCACAGTGAGTCTTACTGACAGTGGCTTTGTGAACACTTTGGTCAAGGCTCGCAAAGTTGTCGGTCATTTTAAGCACAGCCCAGCAAATTCTGCAGAGCTTCATGCACAACAAGCCAGCCTGGGAAAGAAGCAAGAGCCATTGATCCAGGATGTTCCAACACGTTGGATTTCAACGCTGGAAATTGTCAAGCGCTTGATCAGCAATAAAGAGGCTGTCATCGCAACCCAGGACAATCAGGAGCACAAACTTGTTTTGCAGACCGCAGCAGAGTGGGATAAACTGCAGAGGCTGGAGACACTTCTAGAGCCATGCAGGTAAATCTGTCTGTAGCCCATCAAATAATATTGCCTTGATTATTTTCTGGAATAAATTAAACCAAGTTAACCCTCTGGGGTCCAGGGTGTAGTTTGCCGTTTTTGATTAATTTAGTGTTTTCCTTTGTATTTCCAAAATAAAAACCATAACCACTGCCTTTTCCGCACAACCTGGACTTTATGAATCTATACTTATTTTTTATATTTGGACATAAAGGGGTTGCATATTAGACCTTAAATCACTCAAAAACATAAAATCTGAATTGGAAAAAAGTTGTTTATTTTACTGTGAAACCAACAAACATTTATGACGAATGTTTTTTTTATCATTTAGAATGGTAATCTAGACTGTACATTTATAAAAAATATGACAAAATATAGTAAATAACAAATTTAAAAAAATTATTAGCCCTCTGGGTCACCGTTTTTGACTCATTTTGGTTTTTCTTTTGCATTTTCGAATAAAAACAATAAATATTGCCTTATGGGGTATCATTATTTTCAGGACAACCTGGACTATCTGAATTTATACTTATTTTATTAAAGAGCGGGTCAATTGAGCCTCAGAGTCCTTCTCCACCCACGTATCAATTTTAAAAAATGCAACATTAGTAGGCGTTGCCTGGAGGACCGAGAGGGCGGAGCCGCGGCAGTGACGAAGACGACGGCTAACTAGACGATGCTAGCTCCCTTCACTCTATGCAGTTATTAGAAATGGAGGACGTTTCTCCCCCTCCTTACCCAGACACTCGAGAAGAAAGGGACCAAGTCTATTTGGAGGAGACAAGCGGACCTGAGCCTTATTGTTGTGAGCTTGTGAGTTGCCTGTAACTCCCAGAACCGACCCAACAGAACCACCTCTGAATGTAAGTAGCCATTAGCCATAGCATCAGATTAGCTGCAGGGTTTGTCTCCACGGCCCTGGAGAGCTAGTATTCAGCATGTTTTAGAGGTTTATCTGCTTCAGCACACCTGGTTTTAATCAGCAACAAATAGCTGAGCTGCTTAACAGTTAATCTAACTTGTTAAAGCAGGAAAATCCACTGAAACGTGCTGGATAGCAGCTCTCCGGTAGCCCTGGGCTCAAGTTACAGTCTGCTGCATAAAGTTATGAAAATACCCCATGAGAAAATTATTCTGTAATGTGTTCAGCTCACTAAAACTGGCCTGATTTATTTATTTACTGATAACAGCTGCTCTCTTGGTTCTAGGTCCTCTGGTGTCTGCAGCTGGTCTCTGGTGTCTGCAGCTGGTCTCCTCTGCTGGTGTCGTCAGGATCAGGAGCTTCCAGAAGAATGTGCCTTTCAATGACTCTTTCCCCCTTATTTGTTATATTAATTAAATAAATCTCAATTTATATATTTCCTGTTTTTTTTCATGTCCATAAATACTTAAACATGCTTGAAATTAAAATGAGCTTTTAACAGTGAGGTGCTAGTTTAAATCATCACAATAGAGCTAGTTAAACATGCAATGTGATAATTCAATTAATGTAATTTATAAATATCCATTAAAATATCAAAACTGGAATCTATATGAGATATTTGGCAGCACAAAAAAACTTGTCAAACACAATATTTATTATAATAATTGTAGGCAGACAGGAGACAGAGCTGATGGAGGTTCTCAGTTATCGAAGGATGGCTGAAGGCTTTCCAGGAACAGGAGATGTGGTGTTGTCTCTTCTCTCTCTATTCTGCCAGATGAGCTGATAGGTTACAGGTTACAGGTGTGTGAGGACATCCTCATGCTGTCATAACCAGATGACAGGAGTTATCAGGTGATCAGCCAGGCTAATGAGATGCAGAAAGAAAACAAATTCAGGGCAGTGTACTATATGTGGTGTTGCTCACCTTATGTGCTCTTCTAGAGTATTAACGTGTGCCTGCCTCATGTTGTAGAGTCCATATTTTGCTGAGTGTCCTGCAATAATGCAGGTTATTAGTTAACTTACTTTTGATAGCAAAAACAAAATATTTAATGTAAAAGTTGTTTTCCAGGTGAATCAGCTCACACGTCACCACCAAGTGTCACGGGGCAGAATCAGTAGCCTCCATCATGATGTAATCACATACTTATTTAATTGTTAATATCTTAAAAATTCTGAAATGTTTTATTTTTTTTTTACCTTGAACAGTTCACTGAGCTTGCACTGTCACTGAGGTGGAAGCTGGAATCAACAGCAGACACCTCACACGTTGGTCTTTTCAGGGGGTGCGGCCGCTGCTCTGGGACCTTCTGGAAGATGAATTTTCATCATGGTCCCCGTGGGTCACCAGACACACTGCGGCTGTGAACTCCATTCTGGCTGGCTATGTAAAAACAAAGAAGCAGCACATTTATAAATGTTTAAAAGAGCATAAAATCACGTGTAACAATAATCTGTAAAACAAATTAAAACTAGAAGGTAATAATAAAATGTTTACATAGAAGATTATTAAAAATAATTCACCTTTGCTACGCCGGTAAAGCTTCACATCAGCCTGGACAAGTGCATTCTTGCAGCTAAATCAGTCTGACAGCCAGTGTCTTGGGTAGATTTAGCCTGAAAAAAAAAAAGCAAATTGTTGTTGGGAGTTTATAAAGTCAGATAATATACAAAAGAAACTCCTATATAGGCGCTTTATAACATTCCTAGTGTGTGATCGTTATAACGTAAAAGTCAGTCACACATGATGTGGAGAGCCTGAAATGTGACCTCCTGAACAGAATTCCTTACAGAACCGGGTCACGCTGTGCTGGATTTCATGCTGTAATGCTGTCTATCAACTAGTGCTGTTAGTTAGAGCCACTGTTGCAGAATTGCTGACTGACTAGCTAAAGGAAGTGAACCACGTCTCTCAGACTTTGCATTTAGGTAGGGAATTGTCTTTAGAAGATGTTAAAACGTTTATTTAGCTTACTCACCTCAGACTGGAGCCCGCCGTGGTGGGGGAGCAGAGTCGGTGGGCTGCATCTAAATCGCGGAAGAGCCATGGTGGGCAGCCTCCCTCTTCAAACGGAGACGTGCAGAATCGCGGGTAAAATGCCCACAGAGTCACCGCAACCATACTACACTACACCTACTCACCAATACTAACACGATATGGAGCACTAAACCCGAACTACTTTCCCAATTACACTAACAGCCACACACTAACTAAACTACAATATCCAACAGCCAAATCTAACACTAAATAAGTATTTATAACACTAAAAGATATGCTAAGACTAGGATATGCTAATGCTATACGCTAATGCTGAACTACCGCTGACCTCCTACGCTCGCTTGCAAATCCAATTCCCACTTGCCACAGGGCGTGGCCGAGACGCTCGTTGCTTTTATAACTTTGGCACGGAGCTGCTACGTAGTACTCTACTGGTTTACGTAGTACTTTACTCTTTAGCCATTGGCTAAAATTTATTCAAAATGACTCAAATTCTATGTTTTCAGCTGAAGGTGGCGCATTACTGTGGTTTTTAGACAGAATTTTTAATTTTTAAAGAAAATGCACCAAAATGCTAAAATAAAGAATGCACACATTTAAAACACTATTAGACACTCATTTATGCAGTTCATCAGCAAAAAAAAGTTAATTTAGACGTTACTTGCTCTTTAATTTGGCGATAATGTACATGGATTTTGGAGAGAGGAGTGGCTCTGTCTCACGCCGAGATCTGACAGCTGCGCGGCGCCGCCCACTCCTCTTGTTGGATCTCCGAGGAGGTGCATTTCTGCCTTCATCCTCTACCTCATCATGACCCAACTCTTCTATGAGGAAGGATGGATTTGCCACATCATCAACATCCTCACCATTTGCCTCAGACTCCGGCTGTGAGTCTCCGTCAACTTCCTCTGCTTCCAGTTCAAAAACAGCTGTACTATCTGAACTGCCTGGTGGACATCCTTCTCATCATCCTTTATATAAGCCTAATAAAAGCCCACTAAACTGCAGAGACAATATATCTGTTCGGATCGCTCCAAAATATGAAGTTTACCGTCAATATCTGTCTAATTGTTTGTTGTTACTCCGTTCGCGCCACTCATTTCCCCGCGAAGCGGCTCCTTTTTGCGCACATCTCGTTACTCGTGCAGCCTTCCTCTCTCTCTCAGCTACATAATGATGCTTTTTATCAATTGAATATGTGAGACATCCACCAACAGCAAAAGGATCTCATGTTTTTGTGGTTTTTTTTATGTTCACAACACATTCCCGCTCACGGATTACTAAACTGCTGTTTTGACAAGTTATCAGATTGTCTAAAAATAGGTCGTTTTTTAGTTTAGTATAACTTCGCTTTTATGTTGCCTATTAACAAAATTAAAAAACTGGGGTGTAGTTTATAATCTCCTTTTTAAAGCCGAATTTAAACCGACACTCAGGGACGTGGAATCTTGCTGCTACAGCGTCCCAAATCAGACCAGCTCAAAAGACGCGTCCATGGACCCCAGAGGGTTAAATATCTATAACATGTATGTATGTAAAATATGATGAGGACCCTGGATATGTGATGCGATTTAAGACCAAGTTCAAGGAGGAGCTAGCATCCCGTCAAGAACAGCGCAACAATGCATGGCTCCAGACTGCTACAGTATTAAAACAACTGCCCAAGACACAGGGAAGAGGTATGGACCACACTTGAAGGAATGCTGCAACATGAATCGCCCAGAAAGTCTTCACAGACACATGAAGAGGGGTCACCCGGTAAGAAAATCTGCCTTCTGCAAATGAGCTTGGATACATAATCAGAAGATGAAGAAAATGGTAAATGGCCTGTCCTGGAACCCCCGAAGGCACTTTACAACACAATCAGTCATTCATCCATTCACACACACATTCACACACTGGTGGGGATGAGCTATGATGTAGCCACAGCTGCCCTGGGGCGCACTGACAGAGGCGAGGCTGCCGAGCACTGGTGCCACCGGTCCCTCCGACCACCACCAGCAGGCAAGGTGGGTTAAGTGTCTTGCCCAAGGACACAACGACAAAGACAGACTGAGCGGGGCTCGAACCTGCAACCTTCCGATTAGAGAGCGAGCACTTAACTCGGATACAGAATCAGAAGATGAAGAGGTCCAACCTGCCATACACAGGTACAGAGCAGAGCCCACCGTTAAATTGGAGGACATCCCTTTGAGGCTGAATTGTAAACTCCCCTCAGAAGAAATGTTGAATGCTGCTGTCGCCATGGAAACTCTTTCTCCCTATCCCAGCCTGGGCGGGACTGTGACCGGTGAAGGCCATGGAACCGTATCTAGGGTCAATGTGCTCTCTAACCCAATAATCTCCCTCTCCTGTCCAAACAGAGGTGGTGAGCGCTGCTGCCCCTCGGGGATGCTTGCGGCTGCGCACTCTGAAGTGAGGAGTGTCCCAGAACCCTTCCTCCCTACCTAGTGGAGACTTTTGTTGTGTATCCTCTGAAGTCTGTGTGCATATCTGTCCGAGGTGTTTTTTTGCATAGCAAAGCTATCCTCTCTGTCGGGGGTAACTCTGAAGTGCCTTTTTTCCCTTCCCCCTAACTCTGTCCTCATATAAACCCTCTCGATCTATAACGGTAGCTCGACTCATGTTGCGAATGACCACAGTCACCAATTCTGACGGCAACGGGAAGAACTCATTCAAGCCAGCTTCTCCCGGGGATGATGACAGCAACACGGACAGCGACACTGACATCGCCACAGAAAAGGTATGTGACGAAGCTCTTCTGAGGCTGTTCAACTCCGACACTGAAGAAGAGGACTTTAATGGCTTTAGTGCGCAAGAGGAAGATGAGAGCGAATGACTTTTTCTGGTAGGCAAGTGTGTTTTATGTACTAATCAGGCATGTTTTGTGTGCGTTTTTTATTTTCTAATCATCCAGGGCTTATTAATGCTGTGTCAGCGCTGTTCTTTTCTTCTAAACATGCATGCAAATTACCGGTAATAACGTGTCAGTTCTGTTTTTATTTTATAACCATCCAGAAATATGAATGCTGTCAGTGCTGTTTTCTTTTCTAAACTTGCAGGCACGTTCACCCATGTTTAAAATTCGTTTTGTTGAATTAAAACAACAACGAAAAACCAACGTGTAGCGTCTTTCTGTCTAATTATCTTATGTTATGGCTGTACATGTGCTGTGCGCCGGAGACTCGCATGTGTCTGCTGCGCCGCGGCTTCGAGTGTGTGTAAAAAACCATTTTTTTTTGTTGTTGGTGCAGCTTTTATTGAGGTGCGCTCTATAGTCCGGAAATTACGGTAGTTAGGCTTGCTTGAGCAATTGTATTAGAGAATATAGGAAAAGGTAAAATATTGTTCTTTTGATTTAATTTAAAAGTTTTACTGAAAATATTTTTTCAACAGAAAAACGCAGCGGATGACTCAAATTGTGTATGATAAAAATGTGGTAGGCCACAGTTATGCTTTGACTACCTTTTTTGCTTTCTGTACTATTGAATACTGTATTGTACATCCTGGTTAATAGGAATGCCAAAAAGGAAGCGGTGGGACATTGCAAAGACAAATATTATGGTGTGTAGTATGTTTCAGCTTGATTGAAACCACCATTATTTGGCTGTGTTAATAAACAGACATAATATGAAAATTGTGTATCTGTATCCTGTTATTTATATTTTGGTATGCATTTCAGAAAAAAACTGGTTAGGCTTCAGGTGTAGTTTCAAATAGTGATTAATCCTGATTAATCCACTGAAAATTCTGATTAAACATTTTTAATCATTTGACAGCTCTAATATATATATATATATATATATATATACAGTATATATATAATAACATATAAAAAATGGACATTACCCCCATTGCTCATTGCTCTCCCTGTTAGTTGCTGCTGCTGACTGACTGAGGCATCGCAAAACCGAGGCTCATCTATGGCCACTGGGTTGGCTGGCATACCTGCTGAACACCTAAGGTATGCTAGCAATAGTTAGCACCACTCCTTGCTATATGTCACAAACTCCTCCTCCTGACCACCCCCTACGGACCCCACCCCCATGTTAATGTTACCATATTATTGTTAATGGTTAACACATTCACTTCACATAAATATGTGACATTTTACTCCACATTAGGTGAAATAACCTCCCTAAATGTTTGAGGAAGGAGTGATGTCTGAGGTCTTTGATGAAGCCCACTTTAACATGTCAACTCTGATTTGTCCAAAGTGATAAACAACTAGGGCTGGGTAAAAAAATCCATTTCATATAAATTTAGTAAAATCAATTCATTAGGCCTAAGATCGATTTTTCCCCTTGAACCAGAGAGGCCCGTCGACTCATTTTGCTGCAAAGACTACAAATCCCATGGTGCTTTGAGGCATCAAAATGTCAGTCGAAGCGCCTTTCCTTTCTGTTTACAGTCATTAACGTCCATGCTAATAGGATCAGCATATGCAGCGTTACCCTCCTCATTCTTGCAAACTGTAAACACGCATTTTGCAATACCCAACACTATAAACAATCGTTAGTAGAAGCTAGTTCACTTCCAGAACAAGCTAGTTCTAGAGAGCTACCCGCTTCGGCCAACTGGGTAAGCAAAGCATAAGGAACCATCCTCTTTTTTTGACCTCAAGGTCAAAGCCTTCTTTGCAAGCGGCATCAGATGAGAACAGTTAGGCCAGCTTCCTGCAGTCACCTGAAAGGTTTCTCAGAGCACATGGGCCATATTTGGGGTAGAGCTACGTGCTCCAATACCAGAAGTCCAACTCCACCGGCAGTCTGTCCGACCAACCTCGCAGACCCCTGGATCGCACCGGGAACCTTCACCACAAGGGTTCGTAGTCTCTGCCTAACTGGCGTGGATGGGTTTTGTGAATTATTGATAGTTTGTTAAACTGTACAGTCAGACTGATTTTACAACCCAGACATCACAAGTTTCTAAGACACTTAATAAGGTTTTGCTACGTAACATCTAAGCTTACATCCCATTATCTCATTCATTATGTTATCTCGTTTCAACCATATTCATCATAATTTGTTCTGTGTCATCATTAGTAGTAGAAATATAGTATTAAATAGATTTTTATAAACTATAATTTTGCCTCCGTCTCAAAGTATCACGCAGGTGTGATTTCCCTGAACTACCAAAAAGACCTGGTTTCATCTTAGATCAAATTTCAAAAAATCAATAATATTGATAATTCATATTTATATGGAATATCACATCTTATTGATCATTTATTACTACTTACATCAGGTTACAACCCTCAAGAAGGAGGTTCAGGTCCTTGCAGATAAGTACCTCACACCACAAAAACAGCTTTTTCCCCTCAGTTGTTAGACCGCTGAACACCTATTAACAGTTTCAACCACATAGATATGTACCAATCACCTATATTCTTATAACAACCCAGATTCCTTAACTTCTCAGTTTAACGAGCATTGCCTCTCCATTCTGGACAACATCTGTCCTGTCAGAACCAGATCAGTTCCTGCAGTGAACCCTACTCCCTGGTTTAATGACAGCCTTCGCAGCCTGAAGAGCCAATGCAGAAAAATTGAGCATTTGTGGAAGAAAATCCATCTCCATGTCCATCTGCTGCACCTAAAGGATCTTCTGACATCCTTTAACTCTGCAGTCAGAGATGCAAGGGTTTCCTATTTCTCCAACCTGGTGTCCCAGAGCAAAGAGGTGCTGTTTAACACCATCAGCAGCATCGTCTCTCCTGCCACTCCTACAGCCGCCATCCACTCTGTTACAGACTGTGAGAACTTTCTGTCTTTCTTTATGGGCAAAGTCAATAAGGTTAGATCTAGCATCTCTCCTTCAGCCTTATCGCTGCCTCTCCCGACTCCAACCAGGCCCATCATCATAAACTATTAAAAGCTCTAAACACTAAATATTTCAGGAAAGCAAAAAAATAAATAAAATAAAATCACTACTTTGTGTGTTGTGAGAAGTATTATCATTAACATTATTATAATTAATGTTAGGGTTTTTCCTGCGTTCAAATTTGCGTGGCGGCCGCCTCCAGCTATTTTTGTGCCGCCCAGCCTGATTTCACTCTGCCCCCAGCTATATGGACGTTATTTTGCCTGTAGTGGCAGCATTGCGCCACTACAGGGGAGCTGTATCAGCAGCGGCGCACCGAAAAGCGCTAAAACCGCTGCAGAAAAAGATTATCAAACATTGCTTTTCTCACTAGTTGGTACATATCTATGGTTGGTGCTGGGGGGGGGTTCCTACATTGATCAAAATGTCCGGTTATAATATCCAGGAGCAGGGATCGAGTTATGGGGGCTAGATATCTTTCAGGAAAGAGCCAGTTTCTGCCTACATTACAATATTTATGGACTCTCATTGTAGCGTGGTTCTGTTGAGCGGAGAGGACGCAGACCGCTTATCGTTGGTGCGCCGCTGCGTCCAGCACACGATACATTCTCAAGGTGGCGCAACAAAAGATTATTATTAACACATGATTGTTCATATCTGTTTATATCCTCTGTTACTGTCTTTTAATCGTTCCTGATGCGCTCCGCTCATCGTGTGCTGCGGTGATTTCACCTCACTGATGCAGCATCGAAACGTGCACTCCGCTTTGCGGTCAGGAGATCCCTTTGATCTGCTCAAAAGTAACTGATGAGGTGAAAAAGAATCCAAGCAGTTTTTCTGGAGAGTTTAGAGGAGATGCAGGAAGATGAGAGACAGACAGGACAGGACAATAGCTAAATAAAAACAAGAAAACAAAGCTTGAAAGTAAAATGTAGGTAGATTTATCTCCACTACACGTTTTTACCTGTATAAAATAATAAGTTATACACCTGTAATATTTATACATCTGATACAATTCAGATCACCTTCAAAACTCAGTCACACACCCAAGGCCGTTTCAAGGCACTTTGGGGGCCAAGGCAAAATGGAAAATCCCCCTAACCCTAACCAGTACATAATAGACATGCCACCATTACATTAGCCCTTTTAACAAGACATACCATGCCAGCAAATCAGCGTAATATTACCGCAATGGTATGTCTATAAAAGCGCCATGCCATCATGGCATTGCGCAAATTTTGCGGCATTCGTTCCGCCTCGCTTGGTAGTAATATTGTGGTAATGGTCTGTCGTATGCGCCCTGGCGCAACAAAGGCAGATGTCATGATGACGTGGGGAGTTATTGCTGAGCTCCGGCTGGCAAATTTATTGAAAATGCAAGTAAACACGGGCAATAAGGTTTGCTTTTTGAACTAAATCAGCTGAGATGGATGAGCCTCTCTGTTAGAGCTGAAGCTCAGATCACCAGAGACTGCAGAGGGACTGATGGGGATAGGAGCTGCTTTTTAAAAAAGATAAACAAAAGGCTGCGGCAGAGACCACCCCATACCCCCTTTATGCCACCTAATCTTTTATAAAACTGCCACGATTGCGCCACATCATATCAATCAAATCAAATCAATCACATTACCGCCACTGTCTGATCTCATAAACGACCTATATCCTCCCCAGGGAGCTGCGGCAAATCCTGTTTTGCAAACGCTCTGATCCTGTAAAAACACCTTATGGTTAGCAGCAGAAATTAAATGTTATTACCATTTCCAATACACATGCATGTTAATGAAATGCATTATCTTCTACTGGATATACACTGCTCACAAAAATTAAAGGAACACTTTAAAGAAACACATTAGATACATCAGATCTCAATATGAAGTTGGATATCTATACAAATAATGACAGGGCAATGTCCTAGGAACAAAAGGATGCCAAGTCTTTTAATGGAAATAAAAGTTATCAGCCTACAGGGGGCTCAATTGTGAAGACACCCTAAAATTGGAGTGAAATGAAGATGTGGCAGGCTAGTCCATTATTTCAAAAACTTAAATTCTGCAACTCAAATTGCTTTTCAGTATCTTGTGATGCCCCCACAAGCTTGTGTGCATGCTTGACAACGTTGGGGTATGCTTCTAATGAGACAATGGATGGTGTCTTGTGGCACTTCTTCCCAGATCTGTGTGAGGGCATCCCTGAGCTCTTGTACAGTCTGAGGAGCAACCTGGCGCTGCCTAATGGACCGAAACATAATGTCCCACAGATGTTCTATTGGGTTTAAGTCAGGGGATCGTGAAGGCCATTCAATTGTTTCAATTCCTTTATCCTGCAGGTACTGCCTGCATACTCTTGCCACATGAGGCCGGGCATTGTCGTGCATTAGGAGAAAACCAGGACCTACTGCATCAGCGTAGGGTCTGACAAAGGGTTCAAGGATTTAATCTCGATACCTTATGGCAGTCAGAGCACCATTTCTTAGGCAGCAGAGGTTTGTGTGTCCCTCCATGGATATGCCTCTCCAGACAATCACTGACCCACCACCAAACCGGTCATGTTAAACGACGTTGAAGGCAGCATAATGTTCTCCTTGTCTTCTCCAGACTCTTTCACGTCTATCACAGGTGATCAGGGTGAACCTGCTCTCATCTGTAAAAAGTACAGGGTGCCAGTGGCGGACTTGCCAATTCTGGTGTTCTTGAGCAAATGCCAGTCGAGCTCTACGGTGCTGGGCAGGGAGCACAGGGCCCACTACAGGACGTCGGGCCCTCAGGCCATCTTCATGAAGTCTGTTCCTGATTGTTTGGGTAGAGACATTCACACCAGTGCCCCTCTGGATGTCATTCTGTAGGGCAAAAGCAGTGCTCAGCCTGTTCTGCCTTGCACAAAGGAGCAGGTATTGGTCCTGCTGATGGGTTGTGGACCTTCTACGGCCCTATCCAGCTCTCCGCGAATAACCGCCAGACTCCTGAAATCTCCTCTATGTTCTGGAGATTGTGCTGGGAGACACATTAAACCAGCTCTGGTTCCTCCTCGGAATGCGCGTAGGTGGGATTGAGGAGCTCCTCAAAGTATTCCTTCCACCGTCTGACTATAGCCCCAGTTGACATCAGCAGCTCCCCATCCCCACTGTAAACAGTGTAAGCGAGTTGCTGCCTTCCTCTCGAGGCGCCGGACAGTTTGCCAGAACCTCTTTGGAACCTATCGATAGTCTTTCTCCATAGCCTCGCCAAACTCTTCCCACGCCTGAGATTTTGCCTCGGCAACTGCCACTGCTGCACCCCGCTTGGCTTGTTTTCTGTATATTATATGGTTTTGCTAATCCTTCCCAATCTCTTTATGGGAGCTGCTATAAATTGTAGAATTGTTGCATCACAGTAAATTCACATCAAGATGTATGAAATAGCTCTTCTTTAGTTTATGATGGTGTTGATTTAACTGATTTCCATTATCTCACAAGTAACTCTGTAAACTGTTGTTTGATGTTATTGTCAGCTGTGTTTGCCTTATCAAGTTTTATTATTTTATTTGTTCTATACTTTATCATTATACTTAATTGTTTTTTGTGTTGTTGTTTTCTTATTGTTTAGTTATCCTATTCGGATAAACAGGAGGGATTATATTATGGAAATGTTATGTTTATTAACTGAATGTATTCTTCTATGCCTGAAAGCATTCCCACACACTCAGACACACACACACATTCTTGTTACCTAGTAACTTCCCTTACACATGAACACACACACACACACACACACACACACACACACACACACACACACACACACACACACACACTGTCTCTCTCACAGACTGTCTTATCTTTGTTATAAATAAACTCTGAGAGCAGAACCTCTGGGCAGTTGCCTTGAGCTTCTGCCCCTGATTGCAATTTGGTGACTTGTCTGCTTATCGTCTCTCCTCTCTCTCCAGCTGCAGGTGATGGGTTATTGATAGAATCCCTAACAGTCATGTAATCATTAGTTTAGAAATATAGAATTAAACTTATTTTAATGAACTATATTCTTGTATCTGTCTGAATTAATATGAAGTGTGTGTTCCTAAGGTTGTATTAAATCAAATATTCAAAGACCAATAAGATTGATAATCTATAATTATATGGAATATCACATCTTATTGATCATTCAGAAAAAGTAACCACTTCCATCACGTTACACTATCAGCATGGCTCTACACTTCATCCTGCAGCAACTGGACTCCCTGGGTAACTACACCAGGATCCTGCCAGAAGCAGAAACAGCTGGAGTTAGTAGGTCAGATCCACGGTGTGTAAAGTCCACTCATGGAGGGAACAGCAAGGGAAACCACTGAAGAACCAGGATAAACAGACCCGAGGAAACATGGACGGAGACACAGCGCTGCCCCGTGGCAAGGCGGGAATGTGGAAACGGACCTGTGGCTATTCCAAACACAGGCGCCATCTTGTTACCGGCCAGAAGCAGAGTATGGGTCGGATGAGGCTGGTCCATACTCTGTAACAGCAGCTGCTATGTGTGGACTCTCAGGTGATTTGTTTATTTACATTTGTAGTAAACCTTTTTCCACAGTCATCATGACTAAATGATTTAGGTTTCTTCTGGACTTTCCTGCACGAGTCTACATGTTGCTTCACTCTAACACATTTCTTATTAACCAAACAGCCTGAAGACCTTACTGCTGGATGACTTGTCTCCCTCACGTGTCTCTGGAGAGACCACTTGTTAAGAACTTGTTGACAGACTTACCTTCTGACTCAGAAGACCTGCTCTCATTCCAGTCATTATCGTCATCTCCAGTTTCAGACCCAGAGTCTGACAGCTCAGAGTCCAGATTCACATCATCATCATCATCATCATCTCCACTAACTTCAGTCTCTGAAGAATCAGATGTCTGTTCATGAGGGTTCAGATCTGGGTTCCTGCTAGTTCCAGCTCCTCCACCAGTTTCTGCTGTCATCTGGTCAGCTGAGCTGCTGGTTGGAACATCTCTGTCTTCTATTTGCTGCTGATGAAGCTGTGAGACTAGAGGTTTCTCTTCATCATCCTCACTCTTTATAGAAACAGCAGTAACAGGAAACCCGACAGCTTCAGTCTCCTCCTTCAAACAGAGATGCTCTCCCTCCAGACTGGTCCAGAGCTCCTCCTGTTCCTCCTTTATGTGGAGGTGTTCTGGGTCCTGCTGGTCCGCACCAGCACTCTGTTCTTCAGGATCTTCTTCTTTAACCAGCACCAGCTGTTGAACATCTGTAGGAAACACAGACACATGATGTTACAGACCACCATACCTTTATATTTACATGATGAGTGATACTGGCTACATGATGTGGGAAAAAGGAACAAGAACATGAACTTAATTTAGATGAAAACATATTTCTACTTTAGGAACAATAAAAACTTCCATCACAATCAGCGTGTTTGTTTCTGACCATAACTTCTAAGCCTCCTACTGTCAAGTGTTTTCTTCCACTGTGAGGTGCCTCCACTTGAAAAGACCAGACTTTGGATTTCACTCAGAACAATTTATTTGACCAATACTGAGATCAGTCCAGGTTCAGGAATCAGTCAGGTGAAAAACCTTTAAATAAACATCAAAAGGAAGCAGAAAAGGAAAGACAATGGAAAATGTTTAATGGGAGGAAAACAAAGACCAAAATGGAAAACAGAAGGAAAAAAAAAGTAAGGCAAAAGCACAGGAGCACTGACAGGAAAAAGAGGAGGGCTAATAAAAAGTGAAAATAACTCGTGTCAGAAGAGGGGAGAGTTTTGCAAATCCAGTTAAAGATAAGATTGTCAGAAATGTAGTGTAAGGGGGTCCCATGTCTGTGTTCGCCTTGGGCCCCCAAATTGCTAAATCCGCCACTGTCTGTCAGCATTCATTCTGGACAGTTTTACTTATTTTCTGCTTCTTTGTGAGAAATGTCCTCATGTCCCCATGTCTGTGGAGGGATCAGACAAGGACACTGCTTATTAAGGGATAGTAATGGTACTGACTCCTCCTCCAGCTTCCACAAGCCTGTAGTTTCACTTTAGTTCGTTCCGTCTGTTATTTTCTAACTTTGTTGACAACCATGTCAGTCACGTCACCATGCGTGTGTCATGGCCTGTGCTGAGTTGACATCTGTTTTGTGCTGAGTTCTTCTGTGTGCAGGTGGGTGTGTCCGGAGAGCAGCTGCTGTAGATCTGCTCATTAGAGGTCAGGGGATTTAAGGAGTGTCGGGACAACTCATCAGTGCCGGATGATACTCAGTATTGGGTAGTATTCTCGCCAGTAATTGCCTGTCTCTAGCTCGTTTTGATCTCCTGTGTACCTCGCTTCCCTCATACTATCTGCCCTGTTTCCTCCGACCTCCTCAGGTACCTCTCGTCCACCAGTCTACTTCCATTATCAAAGCAATAGACTCATCGGATCAACCCTGCCTGCCTGCCCTGTCGCTCGCCCCTGACCGCCTGCTCTCCAACCCTCACCTGCCAACCTGGACACCTTGGACTCCGGTGCTCAGCTCCCAGCTATTGCCTCTGCCTCTAACCCGACCAGCTCAACCATCCTTGACTTACCCTCCTCTCAAGCTCCCCCAACAACCAGGAAACCGTAAGCCAAGTCTCTTACACTTTGTACCCGCTGATCTGCAACTACTCGTTTCTGCTTCAGAACTCCATCAGAACCACCTGAACCCCGACCTTCATCTACACCTCCACCGAACAAAAATAAATAATTTTTTTCTTACCTTCTGCCTCTCGTGTGATTCTGCATGTCGTGGGTCAAAAAACTACAACACAACATGACAGAATCATCCGGCCATAAATCTGACCCATTCGCCAAATCACTTCTGCCTGCCCTCGCCACGACCTTGTCCAAACACGAAAACTCCATCCAATCCCTCCTCGACTAACAGTCAAATACTAACCAGCATTTATTCCAGCTTGAATCCATGATCCGGCAGTAAAACGACAAGCTTACTGTGTCCACCTCTCCCGTCCTTCCGCCTGCCGCTCAAGAACTTCCGGTCCAAGCTGTTCCATCACCACGTTTGCATTTCCGGGTCCCGGAGTCCACTCCATCGGACACCTACCGGGGTGAGTTCGGCCAGGTACGGGGATTTCTTCTTCAATGCATGTTAACATTTGAAACATTTCCAGAGACTTACAGCAGTGATCCTATAAAAATCTCCTACATCGTAGGTCTGCTCCGCGGCCGCGCCTTACAGTGGGCGGAAGCAAAAAGCCGAGATCCCAATTTTCTTAAAGGTTCTCTGCGCAATTTCCTCGCTGATTTTAAAAACACCTTCGACCATACGGAGACCCCCGTGGAGATATCTAGAACCATTTGGAACCTGAAGCAAGGAAAGCAAACGTTGCTGGACTTTGCCATAGATTTTAGAACACTCGCTACCACCTCAAGTATGGACCCGGAATCGCTGAAGGGAGCTATTACCCAAGCTCTTGATGACAAGATACAGGATCAGCTAGCTTTCTGCCCTGAGTCAGAGACGTTGGAGGACCTAATCAGTCTCGCCGTTTGCATAGAAAAGAGGCTAAGAAACTGCCCAAAACCTGCTCAGCCATGTTTTCAGCCAGCTCTGCCAAACCAGTTGGTCCGTTCCACATCACCCCCTAGTTCAGTTCATGTTTCAGCGCCCCCGGACGAGCCCATGCAGATAGGCCGGGCCAGCCTATCCCCTGAGGAAAGACAACACTGGTTCTCCTCCCGGCTTTGCCTATATTGTGGTAAACCGGGTCACTTCCTGTCTTATTGCCCGGTTCGCCCAAAAGGGAGAGCCCGCCAATAATTACTCCCCACACATTTCTCTCCTCCTATTCCCTCACATCATCACACAAACATGCACATAGGACCTTGGGGGGTGGACAAGTCAGGGAGTGCAGTTATGGACCCCATTTCTGCATTCCTGTGGCAACCTGCCCCCAATTTTATCTGCACCTTAAACACTTCCACCAACGACATTCCACGCAAACATACACTTAGGGCCTTGGGAGTGAGCACATCCAATGGCATTTGGCAGGGGGATTTCTCAGCCTCATCCCAAGTGCCGGTGCTTACTTCCAATTTTAAACTGCACTTAGACACTGAGGGCTGTGGGTGCAAGTGGGGTGGTGTGGTGGCATCAGCTGGCATAGGCCAGACGATGGCCGCAATGCCCGCTCACCACAGCCATGGAATACACCTCATCAACACACACTAACACCATACTGGAGCAGGCGGAGGGAGAATAGGGGGTCTTAGCACACCTCTGTTGTCGCTTGGCTTCCTGGGGCTGGAGGCTAGGAGGGAGATCAGGTTGTCCGGTTGGGGTCTGGGGTGGTGGATTGCTGTGCTCAGCGTTGGGCTGGGGAGCCTGCTCATCAGCGCCCCAGCAGAAAGGGTCAAACTCTTGGAACCGGTAATGTTTGTAGCCCATGTGCAGCAGTACCGGGACCAGAGTGAATAGGGTGTGTATGGGGAGCATGAGCGGGTGTCCGGCGTGCATTGTTGAAAGTCTTTGGTTGTATGTGTATGTGTGAGCATGAGGGAGGCAGTGTGTGACTGTGTTTGTGTATGACTGTATATGTCAGGTGGGGCCTTTGACTCCTCCCTTCTCCTGGGACTTCTTGTGATGATATAGATCTTCGTCTCCCCTCTCCCTACCACACCTGGTGTGGAGTGCGGTGCCTTGGTCTGCCTGGGTTGTGGCTCCTGGGTCAGGGAGTTTAAGATTTTTGGCATCTGCCTGACCAATCCCAGTGGCTGCCTAGTGGGGTCTGGGACCCTGGGCTCTGCTAGGTCCCCAGCGGGGGTGGTCGCCCTGGGTCCCGGGTCATTGGGTCCCGGGCTCTGTCGGCTAGGGGGTGGGAGGCTGCGGGCGGGCCTGTGGGCGGGCCTGTGGGCTTGCCGCCGATATCTCCCTGGACTCTGCCGGCTGCTGGTTGTGGCCCCCCGGGGCGATCCTCTGCGCCTCTCGAGGGGAGTGGGGGCTTTTCTGGTCGCAGTCTCCCTGGAGTTCCTGTGTTCGCGGGCAGCTCCTGGATGTCTGGGACTTGGAGCTCCCTCCGTCTCCTGCACATCTTTAGGGGTCAGATCTGTGGCCCCTCACACTCCCTATTGGACGCTCCTATAGAGAAACCTTACATAAACAAGCGTGTATACACACACAGATGCTCACATGGTGCTCTCATAAGTATGGACTTGGGCACATTCAACACAGGTCTTAAGGCTATGGTGGGCACTTAATGCACTGTGAATTATTATTGTGTGATTGTTCAGTTAAACAATGTTGATTATATATTTCTTCATCAAGTTGACCCAGTGATAGCTTGATCTTGTTGTATTGTTGAAGTCCCATATATTTTTTTTTTCTTCACTCTTTCTGCAGGTCTAGAAGCAGATTCTTGTTCATAATTGTTTATTTTTGTGGAACACCCCCCCCCCATCTTTTGTCTCTTCCTTTCTCTTTCACCTTTCTCTTTCTGTCTCCGTGTCTGGTCAGAATTAAAAAGCATTCAAAGACAATAACAATAAAGTTTTAAGTATCAGGCGTGACATTAAAAGCAGACGCTTTGATGCTCCACCTGAGAGTAAAACTGCAAGGCTTGTCACCAGCATTCAGACATCAATTCTGTTTGCTTCACAGCCAGACAGGACACAAAAAAAAAAAAAAAAAAAAAGACAACCTTGTCAGTCACGTCCACCATGCGTGCAGCAGAGCAACCAAAAAAAGGTGGAACGGACTTCAGCAGACGGAGTCATTTCTGATGAGTCAAGTGGAATGGATTTCTTTGAAACAATCGAAAGAATAAAAGGTGTGTGTGTGTTGGGGGGGGGGGGGGGTCCAAATGAATACTTTTAAAAAGTGGAGGGGGCATTCCCTTCTGACATAATGGTTGCGACATCTATGAACCACCTCCACTCAGTCAGCCAATTCAGTAGTTTGCTCATAATTTAACTCTTGATCCAAACGTTGGACCGTTTCTGCCTCTAACAATGGTTTCCGTCGTTGCTGGTTTCTCTTTTTTCCACCACAGCACCGAGATCACCACGTAGTGCTCCAGTAAAATGTGTTCAGACTGTGGAGTGCACATTTAACGAAGCTTCGAATCAGTAAAAAAAATGAATCGAGGAACTTAATGCATCGAACCATTTGATGATTCGTTTCAGCCCTACTTCCTTTCAACACTTTAACAACTCTTTAACTGTCATTGGCATGCTTTTACTGTGTGGGCGTCGGAACGAGCCCCTGCACCGTGAGAACAAA